ATTATGATTATCATTAGATGAAAGTAAGATAAATAATAGTAAAACACGTTGTCAGTGAGTGGCAGTATTATAAAAACTACATTCTTGGAAATAATTACTTCGAAAATATAATATTAAGATATCATTGTTTAAATTATATGTTTCAAAGTACAATTTTTGCCATGGCAATTAAAATTTGATGTTTTGTAAAAATCTTTCATATGTACATTAATATAACATTAGACGTTTTCAGTAACGTCTTATTTTTTGGTTATTGTTCTAGTCATTCACAACATAATAAATTTTTTTCTCCTAACCTTCATTCTGCTGTATATACTCTAACGACATTCCAAAATCCAAATACAAAAAAAAATTTTATAAATTATACATTTAATTGATAAAAAAAAAAAAGAATCTGAAAAACTGGAAAAATAACAATAAATTATCCTTATAGGAATTGTAATCGTATCAGTGCAAAAATTAATAATAAATCCTTTACAGAACTTTTATGCTGTGGTGAAGTAAGTTACAAATGATAGGATTGTTTGGAATGGTCTGGAAAAAAGTCATAAGAAATATAAATGTTGTTAAAATGGAAAAATTCGTTCAAATTCTCTGAGTTAATATGACAAGAAACTAAGAAAACATTTCTTTTATACTAACATTTTCAGAATACTAATCCAATATTAAGATAATATTTTTAGTTTTGTATATTTTATAAGTCATGGGATTAAACAAAGAAATAATTTTATTTGTATTGAAGTGCACGACTATATCGATAGGCTGCAGGCATGCGTGTCTGCAAGAGCGTATGTGTGTTTGTGTTAAAGAAGAGGCACGTACAGTGCCAGTCAGGTGTGCGTCCTGTTCTAATTTGACCGTAATCAAGTGCACACGTAAAACTTTTAGCTCTCCTTTGTATTCTATAAGTCTGTGCATATAAAAAGTCAGTTATAGTTAGTCAAGTCAGTTAAATAAAAAATTTTGTAAAATGAATTAATAATGTCGCCTTCTCATTTCCTCACTCCAAACCCTTCAGGTTACGGGCCCCAGCACGCTTCACGGCTCTTTTCTTTTTTTTTGTGCGTTTTACTTTTTCGTATCCCCGGGTAGAAAATTGTGAACAGGAAACCAGCTCTGGCGGAGGAGAAGAGCGAGGAGATCGCGTCTTCAGTTGAGGAGGAGCTCACGGTGACTGGGACTGAGGATGAGACCGCGGCGATGATGTTACCACCGCGATCTCCCGAGGCGACAAGCACAGCTTGACTTGAGGTGCAAAATGTCGGTAAGTGATAGCAATATCATTAAGTGTTTTGTATCGAATCTCGGAGACAGTGCTACGGCGAGAGACAGTCAAAAACAAGGAAAGGTCAGTAAGTTCCTAGAAGAACTCGGAAAAATTAGACTGTCTACTCGCACGCGATGACAAAAGTGCCGTGGGCGCGTGCTCGATTGTTTTTGAATGTGCGGGAAAAAGAAAGGGGGAGGTAACGAGCAGAGAGAAAGCGTTTGGTCTCTGTCTTACTAACAGGAGACCACATGCCCTGGCACGCATTGTACAATGATGCGTGATTTCTAACCAATAATAATTCTCTCTCTCGGTTTCTAGCGTAGTAACCGTGTGCGTGCTCGGTCGGTGTTTTGTTTTTGGCGCATGCAAAGGAAGTAAGGATGACAAATAAACACTCTGGGATTGATACAACAAAGGCAGATACCTCATTAAAATGAAAATGAGAGATAGACCGTTAAATATTTTCCGTATAAAAGGCAGCAAATTTCTTTTAGATGAGTGGACTTTCGATGCTCTGTTAAGAGCTTGTCACGGCATTTGTCTGCGCGTAGGGCCAAATGTACGAGACTCGGAAGTAGTGTTATCGGCGGACGAAAGCTGCATCAGGGCCCGTGTCGGGAGTGATATTATAAACGTCAAAGGTGCGTTATATGCTTTCTTTAATTTTATGCTGTGACCTGCACAGTCACGTAAGGCTTGTGTTCGGCTATGCAGGACTGTGTAGGTGCCCAGCACACAATAGTGCTTTGTGTTCAAGCACGTTTGTGTACACCAAGCCGAGTGACTAGAAACGACTTGTGTTCGGTCGGTCTAGGTTAACTCTCTAAAGACACCTGATGCTTGTTATGTTTTATAATTCCTAATTAAAAACGGCATCTTGTACTTGCTGAATTTTTTCGACCTTAAGGGCGGAAAACTAACACTACCAGGAGATCTTTTTAAGGAAGATTTCGAAAATGGAAATTCTGCTCAAAATGAACCCGGGTTATTTGTAAAGTCAGTCGATGTGAATAAGACAGTTGACGAGATTAAGTCAGTTTATAAAACGTCTGATACTTATGCTCTAAATGCCATCGGTAATAGCAGAAAACGTGACGAGAAATTTAATTTAGACAGAAAGGCAGGCATTGAGAATGCATTGAAAAAACGAGCAGAAACTGTTTTCAAACTAAGCACAGGTAAAACTTCGCGAATAAGTATAAAGAAAATAGAAACCGTGCCAAATAAGTATAAATGGTCAAAAAACAGAACTTGAACGGCAGTCAACGTCAGATGAAAATAAATTCTCAAAAATTGCAGAAAACAATCTAACGTAACGGCTGGAAAACCTGATGGCCGAAATCGACCGTATGTTGAAAAGGCAAGAGGACAAAAATAAGAAGACGGCAGAGAAAAAGAGGAAAGTGGCAGAGAACAGGAGGAAGGTGATAGAGGAAAGGAGGCATGCTGAAAAGGAAAGGCAGGAAGCGGGGCAGGCAAGGGAGGAGTTCTACTCGGCCCTGCAAAATTTTGATCAATAGCTGAGTAGGTGGAATGAAAAGCTGGTGAGACTCGAGGCACTGGCTAACCCCGGACCTCCCTTGCACTCCACGCCAAGACCTGGAAGAAACCAGGTTAGCATAAAAGAAAACCTTAAAAATTTCTTTGATGAAATAAAGGCAGATAGCATATCTAAAAGTGGCGTGGAACTTATTGCTACAACCATTTTAAACTAAACAAATACAAGACTTGGGCGTGAATCTCTAAATTTCTTTAATTACAGCCTAACTAAAGAGGTTAAATTTGAAGTCTCTTACGATAAATTGAAGTCAAAACTCTGGTCAAAGGCACTACTGCATATTATTGATCCTTTGATTAAGAACTTAGAGTCAATAAGTGAAGACGCAGTTCGTGATGATAAGACAAAAGTTTGGGATCTACTACTTAACAGAGTAGCTGAGAGATATCATCTCAGAATATTGCGATTGCAAGACCCGATTGAAATTTTAGAAAGTCTGAAAGATTTGAAAAGGGGAGAAACACCTATCACTATGGCCGCGATTCGGAGAAAATTGCACGAAATCAAATTTAATAAAGGGAAAAAATCGGTGTCTAAATTTATTGAAAGGTTTGAAGAATTGGTAAGGAACCATGAGGTTATAAGTTCGTCTGGTCTCTTTTCTGAAGAAGAAAAGAGAGATGCTTTTTATACCGCTGTGGTTGGAGTGGTACCTAGCGTACAGGTGACAGATGTCACCCTTAAAATGCAAAGCATAGACGGAAAGAGTATGACGTACGAAAATCTTATGTCGTACATGTTAAAGGTCTGAAGGCCTGGCAAAAGCAACCAGAGGCCGATCCACGAGGCTGGCATTCGCAGCATCTTGGCCCTAGGATCGCCTTCGGTGTTTTAACTGTGACGACTGGGATCATTTGGCCCACCAATGCCCGAATGCTGGAACCAGGCTCAAAAAGTGATACATCTGTGGCACTTTTGTGAACGACATACCAGCCCACAAGAAGTGCAGCCCAAGATGTGGTGAGCAATTTAAGTCAGATTCATGGGATTTTAAAAGGCAGGGGCGAGGAAGCCGAGGAAATCGGGCTGGCCGTGGCCGTGGCCGTGGCGGTGGCTGGGGCCCCTCAAATTCCCGGGTTTTTGGGCAGAAAAGAGACTCTAGCAACGTCAGAGATAAAAGAGACTCCAAAAGATAGAAACTTTCTGACCAGAACCGAAATACTAAGGGAAAACAAACTGCGTCGGTTTCAAATAAAGGTGAGTCTCTGACGTTGATCGAGCCTCTCAAAACTCTGTTTTCAAACTCTGCACATTGGATAAACAATTTAGAATCAGATAAGATTGATAAAATTGAATTCATCGCTGATTCGAGAGCGAGCGACAATTTTACTAAGTCAGAAAAATTATTTGAAGACCTTGACAGAAGGAAAATTGGAAAAATTAAATGTGCGAATTCAGACTCATCTGCAGATTTGAAAACGGAGGGAGTGGGAAGGATGGTACTTTAAAATAGTAACAACGAGGTTGAGTTGAACGGAGTAGTTTATGCTCGGGACTTGGTCGGGAATTGACTCTCTTTACGTAAATTTGCTGATATGGGTCTGTCCATCTATGTAGATGATAAAGAGATTAGCATCTTTGACCCTGAAACAGATTATGTCTGGATATCAGAAATATATCAAAAACCGCACTGGACAGTCGAATTAATTAAGTCAGATAACATTGGAAAGCCGGGTCAAAGACAGATTGAAAGTGGTAAAAGAATGAAAATACTGACGGCGGAGTCAGAAGCACAAGCTATTCTTAAAAATTCAGCTGCGGAAAGCATGAACTTAGCAAATAACCCGAAGAGCTCAATCGGAAGGGTAGATCTAGATGATAGTCTCTTTGACGACGTGTTTCTGATACAAGATAGAAAATTTTATGATGTCGGGACAGTCAAGACTAAGTTAATAAACGAAGTCCATTCTCTGAAAAATATAAAATATTTAAAGACAATAACAGGGCGATGCTGTGGCATGTCAGGTTGGGACATGCGTAACAAGAATATCTCAGGGAATTGCAGAAAGCATACCCGGATATTTAACGTCTGGAGGAGGCTGTCTTTAGTGATACAATAAGGATGTGTGATGTGTGTCTGAGAACAAAGTCTCAAAAATTGCCTTTTCCCTCCGTGCGAGAAAGAGCAGCCAGACCACTTCAGATCTTTTATTCAGACACAATGGGAGTAATAAGTCCATCATCTTTACCGAAAAGGTACAGATTTATATCTGTATTTGTTGATGACTTCTCGAGATTTGCCATGGCATACCCGATAAAAAACAAAAGTAATACGAGTGAATGCTTAGAAAATTTCGTCAAAAGCTGTAAAAATTTGTTAAGATATGATACTAAAGTATGTTATTTAAGGTCAGACCAGGGTACAGAATTAACGGGAGGATCCACCCAAAAGGTGTTAGATAGTCTTGGAGCGGAACTCCAGTTGAGCTGTCTGGATACCCCCGAGTTAAACGGCACGCCAAAAAGTCTGAATAAAACCATTCAAATGAAAGTCAGAGCTCCCATGTATGATTCGGGACTCCCGGAGAAAATGTGGGACTTGGCCTTGAACGCGGCAGTTTTTGCGTACAATTGCACTCCGCATCATTCAAATAATATGGAAATCCCTTTGGCGAAGCTTGTGCCGAACAAAAGGATAGATATAAGTCAGATGAGAAGATTTGGTTGTATCTATTATATGAGAGTTCAGAGAAATACAAAAACAAAATTCCAGGCCAAAGAGAAAAGAGCATTTATGGTGGATTACACACCCACAGGGTATCGACTACTTTGTCCTGACGAAGGAAAATTCTATGAGAGCAGGGACGTCAAATTCAACGAACGTTTTGTATACGGAGACATAAATGGTAAAGGTTCGATTAAAAACTGGGACAACGTGACAGTAGATATAAAACTAGATGAGTGGTTTTTGATCTTCGAGAAAGAGAGGGAAGAGATGACAACATCGGAGAGAGAGCCACCAGACGTACGAAGAAAATCAGGAAGGCCAAAAAAGTCAACAGCGTTAGAAGCAAACATGGCAGATACGAACCTAAAGTGTAAAAATCCTGTTAGAGATGTCAGTTTTGCGGGTTTGGCTATTGCTGACGACCTCATAAAAAATCTAACCTTTAAAAAATATGATACAGATATGGCAGATAAAGATACGTCTGCAGAAGATCTCACTCACTACCTGCTTCTGGCTGGAATAAATAAAGACCCGTCTTCATACAAAGAAGCAATAAAGGCAGCAGATCGGGAAGGTTGGATTTGAGCAATACAAGATAAGCTTGTGTCAATGACGAAAAATGATGTATGGGTTCTTACAGACAGACCTGTGGGGCTTATAAACGGCAGACGCCCAAATATAATTGACTCCTGCTGGGTACTTAAGAAAAAGATTGACACTCAAGGGCAGAACAATACAAGGTATGGCTGGTAATTCAAGGATTCAAAGACAAAAATGAATACGATTTGACAGAAACTTATGCCCCGGTGTCAAGACTGACCTTGATCAGAACGGTTCTAGCTCTGGTAAATAAGCTAAATCTGAATACATGCCAGCTAGACGTAAAAACAGTTTTCTTGAATGGTACTTTTGATAATGAAATATATATGGAGATACCAGAAGGTTTGAACTGTATAGATCAAGAACGTCAGAATAAAGTCTGCAAGCTGCAAAGAGCCTTGTACGGGCTAGAGGTCAGTCCTAAAAAATGGCATGATAGATTTTCAGAAGCAGCTATTAAAATAGATTTGAAGTTACATATTTTAGAACCGTGCCTGTTTACTTGGCACGAGGCAGACAAAATTCTAATTTAAGTTCTATATGTTAATGATATGATTATTGCAAGTAATGATCCAAATCGGTTGAAGTTTGTTAAAGAAAGTCTGCTAAGCGAATTTGGCATGACGGATCTCGGTGAAGTAGAAGCTTTTCTAGGTATCGAAGTCAGAAGAGGCAGGGAGAGGCAGGTCCTAACCTTGACTCAGACTGATTATAAAAATAAAATTTTGGCCAAATTTGGATTTGAAAATTCAAAACTTGTAAAAACTCCTATGGTCACTGGACATGTGTTAAATCAACAAAGGATACAAAGAGAACAATTTGAAAGGCTGGATTATTTAAAGGAGACAAAATCGACAGAAAATGTTCCCTACCGAGAGGTTGTGGGCTGTCTATTATACGTGTCTAACACTGTACGTCCAGACATCAGCTATGCTGTGAATGTACTCAGTTGACATCAGATAAATCCAACTGATGAAGATTGGAACATGATAAAAATAGTGTTCCGGTACTTGGCAGGCACCAAATCTTTTGGGCTACAGTTCTTAGGAAGGCATGACAACTTAGAAGCCTTTTCGGATGCCAGTTTTGGTGACAGCAAGGGCTCTCTGACTACGAGTGGGTATGTCATCAAACTCTTCAGAGACGCTGCAGCCTGGAGAACTCACAAGCAGACCTACGTAGCATTGTCAACATGTCAGGCTGCATACGTGGCACTAAGTGAAGTATGTAAAGAATTGATTGCAGTAGACAATTGTCTCACAATCATCCTTAACAAAACATTTTGTCCAGCTGACTTATGGTGTGATAATAAGGCAGCGGAATTAAATTCAAAAATAAGTGGAAGCGAGAAATTGGGGCATATGACAGAAATTCACGAACATTATGTCAAAGAATGTGTGACTTATGGCAGAGTTAATATAAGGTGGTTGAGTACCAGAGAACAGACGGCAGACATTTTTACGAAACCCTTGATTATCGAGCTCCACAAAAATCATATCTTTAATGAAGTCTGTAATTAAAATGAATAATTAATATGATACATTCTGTTCCAGACAAGAAGTAGGGTGCTCATCGGACGACCATGATCCCTGGCCTGTTTGACCCTTGTTACCAGCGCCATTAAAATCGATAATAAAATATTAATACTGTGTGTCTCAAGATAATATCTATTTTTGTATTTTTATAACTCTTTAGCTATCTCAAGTTCGGAGAAAATGTTGAAGTGCATGACTATATCGATAGGCTGTTGGCATGCGCGTCTGCGCAAGCGTATGTGTGTTTGTGTTAGAGGAGAGGCACGTACAGTGCCAGTCAGGTGTGCGTCCTGTTCTGATTTGACCGTAGTCAAGTGCACACGTATAACATTTAGCTTTCCTTTGTATTCTATAAGTCTGTGCATACAGAAAGTCAGTTATTGTCAGTCATCAGTTAGCTTTTATCAAGTCAGTTAAATAAATAATTTTGTAAAATAAATTAATAAAGCCGTCTCCTCATTTTCCTCACCCAAAACTTTTTAATTTGTAATATAAGAAAATTAAGGATACATTTGTCACGTTGTATTTATTACTCTTAAATTAAATGAGACCAGAATGCATAAGCATGGCTAATCATACGCATACGATGATCAAGTAGCGTTTGAAAAAAGAGTAAGGTCAAGTAAAAACATTTGATGATTTAAAAAATGGAGTAAATCGTTTAATAAATTATCAAAACAATTTAAGAATTAAATATAACAAAGGCTTATTAGATGGAGTATGAAATACAGTGTCAAATGTGTCAGGATTCTTCAGAGATAAACAAAAGATTGGAGACATATATACATTGCCATCGATGTGTTTTAGAGGACCCCATTACATGCAATAACATCACCAAGATGCTATGGCTATGATGAGAAAATATGGTAGACCAGATGTTTTCATGACAATTATGTGAAATCCTTAACGGAAAGAGTTATTAATGGTCCTGGCTAACTTTTCAACAAAAACCAGTGCCAAACTTTGTACTAAATATAACTGTTCGTCTATGCCACACAAATGGAGAACACAATTGTGGACGATATAACAAACAACAACATTTTTGGTACTATATCAGCTCATGTTCACACAGTGAAAATCTAAAAACCTGGAGTACTGCATGAACTTTTTCTTAAAATATTACATTTTACTAATAAACTAATTACTGCTGAAAATTTAAATATGGAAGTGTGATAAGGTGCTAAAAAATATGTATAGATAAAAAAATAATTAAGAAACTTGCGAAAAGTGGCTGAAGTAGATTTCTTAAAACTGTAAGGAGTACTGAAATAGTGGTGCAAAAAGTAATGCAACTAAAAATGACAAGATAAATAATATAATTTTACCTCAGATATGAGACTAAAAGGTTGCAGGAGGAAAAAAACGTTAAAATTGTTAGAATTTTACCTTATTTATAGGGAGGCTGAGGAGGGTCTAAGGGCGCGCCGAGGAGTGGAGGTCGGGGGTGGAGAGTGTCTCGTAAAATGAACTCCTAAAATCGCTTTATAATATGTACACATCCATAATTTATTTACATAATTAAATTTTTTTTTTTAATTAAAAAAATGTGTTCGTTAGTAGCAGTGTTTAAACATTTTATTNAAAAAATTTTAATCCTAATTTGTCTTTGTATAGCGTAATACTAAGCTATACATGAATTTAGAAACCAATTATTTTTACACCAATACAATCAGTAAATAAATTGCCCTAGTAACAAGGCTCACTCTTATAAGCCAGCTTACAGAACCAGTTAAGTAATGTGATAACTATTTATAGTACTGTTAGATGTATAAAATGTAATAAGGGAATTGCAATTATTTGTATTTCAAGCAGAAAGAGCATGGTTTTTTGTTTTGTTTTTGTGGGGTAGGGAAAAATGAGGCAATTTTGGCTGCGAGAAGGTCGCCTAAGCCCACCTCGAGAGGGATTGCGTGGTGAAAAAGCACATGTGAAAATTCACGGAGGTATTTGCCCGAAAAGTCGCACTGGCCGGAAATCGAACCACAGTCTCCCGTGTGCCAATCCACGACCTAGCCAACTAAACCACCACACGCTCCAAAGAACATAGTAAAATAAAAAAACTGTTTTTTTTTTAACATTAAAAAGTCTAAAGCACGTACATATTGTTTTCATATTAATCTTGGATATGCTCATTATTCATAAGGACAAAGATAGACAAAGAGTACTTGTTAAAAAAAACTGTCCAATATTTTTATGTACTTGTTGTTATTATTGTTTTTAAGTATATATCAGTGAGTTGGTAAAAAAAAAACGTTGTTTGCATTTACACTCAAGTCATTTTATCATTGTAACAAGTTAGTTAATATTATGATAAAAATAAACATTCTCAAACTCATGAAAAGACTAATTTTTACCATTTAAGTGCGTTTTAATTTTCTTTGCAGATATAAGGCGTAAAGTCAAGTACTAGTTGTTAATTATTGTAAGGTTCTTTTGCATTCAAAACAATATAAAATCATTTAATGTTGTCAACGTAACATGAAAAAAATAAAAGTGTGAGCCTTGGGACATCTGGAGAAGTGAATCTTTAAAATAGTCTAGTATGAAACTGGACATTACACTTAATTTGACTTTGTTATAAGTGATGTTTTTTGGTTATCTTGCTTTCCCTTAAAACGTATGAGTTTTCTATGTTTTTTAAGTGTCATGTTGTCATAAAATTGTTGTGAAATAATCTTAGTACGTTGGTTAATAAACAATATTTGTAGAAATCAAACTGTACAAATTGTTATGTTTAACGTTTTTAGATAACTGAAGTACTTTCACTTACCAAGAGTAGTTAGGTTACAAAAGTTTAATTTTTGCCTAGTGCAGTTAACTCTTAACAGGTTTTTACTCAACATAAACAATTGAATTTCATAGCTGTTAGTTTTCCATCTGTAATCATGGGTGGTATTTATTGTCAAAGAAAAGTAAAAGACAAAAAGACACATAAGTATATTTTACGGGTAGAAAGGTGCAAATTATAATCCAACATAAAACTCAGTCACTCAATGTAAGTAATACATGAGTAGAAAACAGATTATTGGGCGTCCTATGGCCAGTCAAGAACATCAGATTCAACTTTACAACTTATTAACATTAAAAAAATTTTAAGGTATTATAAAAATACCTAATCATTTGAACAATGTTTAATATCGGGACGAAAATTATGTCTATAACTGCCTACATAATTCATGTAACCATCAAAAAATAAGATATAAATAACTTTTACTAACTACTACAATGATAACTGCATTACGCTTTGTGTATCTAAACGGACACTGCCACATAAAAACACTGCAGGTAGTCATTAAAGTTACAGCTATTTTAAATTTGATTTTAGTGCAAGAACAAAGTTTAATTTTTGTTTGAGGCATTACAATATGAATTTTTTGAATAATTTATAAGAGCCCTTCACGAAATTTTTTCTGCTAAGAGCCCAAAATGGTGTACCCTAACAATTTTAAATGCATTTTATTTTCATTGAATATTAAATTATTGACTTAAAAAGTGATTTGTATGAATTTTGAGAGTAAGGAAGAAGTACAAACATGAGAATACATTTATTTTATTATTGACAGCAACTTGACCTTTATGACAGTAAGATTTTATAAGAAAACGTAATGCTCCTAGTCTTCAAAAATAAAATAAACAAGTCATCGTAAAAGTTTTTTTCGTGAACATCCAATAGGATCGAGAAAACTCTACATTATCATGGTCACAGACAATACGGAAAAAGAAGTAAGATAATTAACAATCCAGTTTAAGTGTTTGTCCATTCGGCATCTTGTAATATTTGAGTTCTCGAACAATACCCATTTCCACACATATATGACACCTACATTGCATAAGTCCTTATGTGGGGCACTCTTAACAAATTCTGCACAACCCTTGACAGCTCTCTACTAGCCACTACAACCTTATACAGACCCCTGTTGAACCCTCACAACACAAGGTAAAAATCTGTCTTTAATCCTTTATTTTGTCTTGGCTTATTTTGTATCTGGATCTCCCATGACCCCTTATTGCCCCCCTTTCCTAGAACTTCAGTGCCCCTAGCGATACATTCCCTGACTCTATTTACTTTTTTTTGACCCAACTCAGTCCCACTACAGTACCCCACACCTTTTTTGTGAAATCTTACTGACAGCCTACTAACCTTGACATGAATATTGTTAATAAAGTAGATATACCTGGTGATGATCCATGTTATTTGTACTGACATTTTTTATATAAACATTGTACCATTCTCTACCGACTTTATACAAACTTAAATATTAATTTTTAAATACATATTTTTATATGTATTTTTCAACATTATCCTAAACAAAAAAAGGTAGACTTTATATGTACAAATAGTTATCGACTAATTTATTTATGTAACTGAGTGTAAGATAATAAACATTAACTTTTCTTGAATTTATAGACGTAAAAATAAAGTTCATGGAGCGCTGACATTTTTTTTTTTTTTGGTAATATTCGTAATAAGCTATCCAAAAAAATTTTAATCCTAATTTGTCTTTGTATAGCGTAATACTAAGCTATACATGAATTTAGAAACCAATTATTTTTACACCAATACAATCAGTAAATAAATTGCCCTAGTAACAAGGCTCACTCTTATAAGCCAGCTTACAGAACCAGTTAAGTAATGTGATAACTATTTATAGTACTGTTAGATGTATAAAATGTAATAAGGGAATTGCAATTATTTGTATTTCAAGCAGAAAGAGCATGGTTTTTTGTTTTGTTTTTGTGGGGTAGGGAAAAATGAGGCAATTTTGGCTGCGAGAAGGTCGCCTAAGCCCACCTCGAGAGGGATTGCGTGGTGAAAAAGCACATGTGAAAATTCACGGAGGTATTTGCCCGAAAAGTCGCACTGGCCGGAAATCGAACCACAGTCTCC